TAGGGACCTAGACTAGGATTAGGATAACGAGGATACTATTATCGTTCTAAGAGGTATAGGCATAGGCAAAGCTATACTAGAAACCTAGGCTAAGGCTAATGCTAATGCTAATGCTAATGCTAATGCTAATGCTAATGCTAATGCTAATGCTAATACTAATACTAATACTAATATCTGTGCGCCTAGGCGTAAGAATTAGTCTAAGAATAATATAGAGAAGCGTAATAAGATCCCCGACATCTTCCGCTTGCTATTTAATAGCTAGTATATAGCGACGCCTCGATGCCTACGTACTATCCTTAATAAGCGATACTAGGAAGAGCTCCGATTATAGGATCCTAAGGAGACTCTAGATCGTAAGGATTGCTGCAATATTGTCTATAATTACGATCTAGACTCGGTATTCTAATAGAATAAATAGGCACTACGCCTACCGAAAGCCCTAGTTATACCGTATAAGGGCTCTAAGCAGTTCTTCTTACTGCTATATCTATAGAAGTTCTTCGACCGGAAGGCTAACGAAGCTAGCGGCCGGTTTAATATATACTTCTTTACTCTTCTATCGAATACTCTTATCGAGGACCGATATATATAGAACCTCTATAATGCAATGCGGCACCCGGCGCTTAGCGACGTAGAAGAGGAATCGACTAGTATAAATAGAGAGGAAATGCTAGAGAGTGCGCTAGACTTCGATAACTAGTATTAGGCTAGCGGCGATAACCTTCGTAGTAAGCTAAAGCTCGGTAACGTCCTTCGGTATATTAACTATAGCTTTCGCTAGGCCTTTACGGACTAGTAGGAGTACTACGAGGAGCGGAAGCGTAAGTAGGCCGAGCGAAAGAAGGCCTCGGAGGATACGATAGAAGTAAATAACGGCAATTCTAGCGACCTACTAACTTAGCCTCCGCCTATAGCCCGGGATCGTCTTTGCTAGCTATAATAGGATTCTAATAAGTCTCGCGACGCTAATATATCGCTAGTAAAGAAGGCTATCGTAGGCAATCGGAAGGCTAAGACTTAGGGGAAGTAGTCTTAGTTTTAACTAAAGGCGAAAGGTAAGCGTATAAGAGATCTAATCTAGGATAATAGTGCTACGGCCTTATCTGCTCGTATACTAACATAGCGGATACTACGCCGCCGGCGCTAACGAGAGGACGAGGATAGTAATTATAGTACTCTAATATCGGTCGCTAAGTCTACTCTTCGTAAGGCTATAAGCAGTAATCGCCCGCGTCGTATACTATCGCTTACTCTAAAGGCACGAGAGAACCTTGCTCTTATTAGCGCAGACATCCTACTAGAGAACCTGCTCGAGGAGAGCCTAACTCGTCGTAAGAAGAGATAGATGCCTAAGCTAGAATTAGCGCTAGAATTAGCGCTAGAATTAGTACTAGAATTAGTACTAGAATAGCACTAGAATAGCGCTAGAATTGGCGCTAGAATTAGCGCTAGAATTGGCGCTAGAATTGGCGCTAGAATTGGCGCTAGAATTGGCGCTAGAATTGGCGCTAGAATTGGCGCTAGAATTAGCGGTAAAATAGCACTAGAAATAGCACTAGAATTAGCACTAGAATTAGCACTAGAATTAACACTAGAATTAGCGCTAGAATTGGCATTTAATAAGGTCCTTCCTTACTACCCTTCTATTATATCCTTATAAGCTCGCTAAGTCCTTGTCCTATCCCCGGAAAAGTAAGCCGTAATACTACGCTCGATCGCGTTGCTTCTACGAGAGCTAGCGTATAATGCCTAGTTAAGCTGCTTCTGCGAGAGCTAGCGTATAATGCCTAGTTAAGCTGCTTCTACGAGAGCTAGCGTATAATGCCTAGTTAAGTTGCTTCTACGAGAGCTAGCGTATAATAAACTAGCTTCTACGAGAGCTAGCGTATAATAAACTAGCTATAGCCTATACTAGAATTAGTACTAGCGCTAGAATTGGCGCTTCTATTATGTCCTTATAAGCTCGCTAAGCAGGATCTTCTATTATGTCCTTATAAGCTCGCTAAGTAGGCTCTTCTATCGTGTCCTTATAAGCTCGCTAAGCAGGCTTTTCTATTATGTCCTTATAAGCTCGCTAAGTAGGCTCTTCTATTATATCCTTATAAGCTCGCTAAGTAGGCTCTTCTATCGTATCCTTATAAGCTCGCTAAGTAGGCTCTTCTATCGTGTCCTTATAAGCTCGCTAAGTAGGCTCTTCTATTGTATCCTTATAAGCTCGCTAAGTAG